CATCAAGCAAAAATTCGACAACCGGCTCCTTGCATCGGCAGACAAGCATGCACAACAATGTAATGTCACCTCCAAGCTTCATTGTCTGCACCACACTTAAATGCAAGTTAGGCTCAAGCAAAGCATCCTGCCAAAGCAGCTTCTGCTCCTCGTAATTTGGGTGCAGAGGTGTCTGTAGCGTTTTAAATAATATGTTTCTGGGGATGATCCCGAAAAGCATAAAACACTTGCCCAAAGCCCCAATTCGAAATTGTTAGTGCTATAATAGGTACATGTATAGCTAAGTATAGCAGTTCACACTTTACCGGAATTGTCAAGTGTTCTTCTAGGGATATTGGAGGATGGCACGAGGGTTTTGACCGTACAGACGACCTGACCCAAAACCCCTAGCATAAACTAAGGGACTCAGCAGAAAAAGCTCAACAAGGTCTATTGATCTAGCATGCTTGAATAATGGGTTTTGACCGTACAGACGACCTGACCCAAAACCCCTAGCATAAACTAAGGGACTCAGCAGAAAAAGCTCAACAAGGTCTATTGATCTAGCATGCTTGAATAATGAGGCAGCTGTATAGTAGCTCTGGCTATGGTGGGTATCGGGTCCTAGAACATGATCAGCGACATATATATATATATATATATAGCAGGGTCCATGCATATCTAGACACGACGGGCCCGGTTCTAATTGCATATGTAATAAACTGATGAGGTCTTCAGAACCCAAGCTTCGGTCCTAAAGTCCCGGCCTCCCCCAGCTCCGGAACGTATTCGTTCGCCAGGCTGTTGTCGGGCATCGACGGTCTGGTGTTCTCCTGAGATCTTAGAGTGTGGGGGTCGTTATGGGGTGGTTTATAGTAGAAGCCAGAAAGTTGGAACATCAGACTATATAAATAAGGGATTCTAGCACTAATCCTCCTAAAGCCATGTTCCAACTTTCTGGCTTCTACTATATTAGGTTTTGCAGTTCAATGCCTGAGGGCCTTGGGGTGGGTTTGCTTAGTGGCCGGGGCGGTTTAGGATTTTTAAGGTTTTGTGGTTTCGCGCTCAGACACGGGACACTCGCCTCGGTGTTGTGTTTTGGGGGTGTAGCCTGTATAGGCTTTAAGGTTTAGGGTTTAGGGCCAGGGCCTCCAGGCGGGTTTGGTTCAAGCCTCCTAGGTTTAAAATGAACTCCAGAAAGTTGGAATATGGATTAATGGTAGGATCCCCTATAATTTACCTTAAGGGTTACGATAATGATATTCCAACTTTCTGGCTTCTACTGTAGGGGTTTTGAGGTTTCGGGGTTTTGGGCTAATTTATTTCGGGTTCTAATAAATTGGGCTATATATAGCTACACATGTACAATTGCAATCTAGCCGCCTGAAGAAGCTTTGCGTGCTCACAAGCCACAAATCGGCAAAAGTTATATGGATAAGCCTGGGTGTTCTGCAGCTTGGAGCCACCGGTCCTGATCATGAGGGCTGCATTATTATAATGTAGATGGGTTAGCTTTTCAACAGCGTACTGAAGCATCGATCATGGTGATACAGCGGCTGAGTTGCGTGGTTCGTTTGCCTGTGGTCTTGTTGACACCCTTCTTGTAAACGCCTTCGGAAGTCCACTGGTGCCGGCTGCGATCCCCTTTTTTTGTCTTGGAAGCCCATGAGAAATTACCGATCCAAGGCCTGAGCTTGGTTCATATTTCGTCGTTACAGCACACAACTGCATTTTCGAGCAAATCACTCTACAGGCAGCTAGGTGGCGCATTTCCCACCACCACAGTTCTTTTCATAGACTTCGCACCGAAGAGGCCCATCCAACTGAAGACACAACCGCATGAATCACGAGTAGAAGAAAGCCTGTTATAAGCGCACAATATGTTCAGGCGAGCCACAAGCGGACGGCTTGGTGCTGCCCCAGTCGGAGGCGGTGCATGTTCACAAACAAATGGATCATTGCCGGAAGGTAGAGCAACACTGAAGATGAAGGCTGTTCCAGGACGAAGTATACACCCCTGGCTATTCCGAGCATTAAACCCAGAATGGTTCTCGTAGCTGTGCAGTTTCCCCGGACACATGTTTCCGAGTTGAGGTCTCCACGGGGGTTCCACTTAGATTTCTTTGTCTTCGAAGAGCACATGAAAACATGAGCACCGCATGGAGGAGCTGCTGAAATCAACCCACCACATCGTATCCGCAGGATGCTCTGTAGCATGCAGAGAAAGCCAATCCTTACATAACAGAGCAAATGGAGGGCTCTATTTTAGCAGTATTCTGCATGCCCCGAGAAGAATGCAGACAAGCATCGTTTTCTCCACATCATGGTCGGGGTTGATCCGCTCGTTATCAAATCTCGAAGATCTGAAGCCCCTGCGGCCTTCAGTGTTCTAACAGAGCTATATGGCTACATATACTACCATTAAAGTTTGCACAAATTATGCAAGCATGGTTCTAGCTAGGTGCAATCGAAACACGGAAGGCACGGTGAATACCTCCCCAGCCACAGAAGAGGTCCAAGACATCAAGCTCCTCATTTCATATGCACATTTAAATTTGGTATAATAATAGTATACAGCCACATTGCTAAACCCTAAAGCCTAAACCTTAAACCCCAAAACCCAAACCCCTAAACCCCTAAACCAATTGGATCCCAGAGGCAAACCCGAACTTTCAAGCCCTCGGAGCCCCCTCTAGAAGATGACCTTGAACCCGGATCATGTGTATGCTGTGCATGTGCCTCGATGGCAATGCAATATTCGGTGGATTCAGTTGTTTCTACAATTTCTACGAATTTTCCTGAGATCTTCAGCCGATCCTACAAGACGATTATTCACTATATATTGCAGCAGTATTAAGTAGCAGTGCAGCAGCAGCAGCAGCAGGAGGAGTAGCAGTACCAGTAGCACTAGCAGTAACGCAGCAGCAGCAGTGCCAGCAGCAGCAGCAGTCGTAGTAGTAGCAGTAGCAGTAGCAATAGCAGTAGCAGTAGTAGTAGTAGTAGTAGTAGTAGTAGTAGTAGTAGTAGTAGTAGTAGTAGTAGTAGTAGTAGTAGTAGTACTAGTAGTACTAGTAGTACTAGTAGTACTAGTAGTACTAGTAGTACTAGTACTACTAGTACTACTAGTACTAGTACCTAGTACTACTAGTACTAGTACTAGTAGTAGTAGGATTACTACTACCTGCCGCGAGGCTCCTGGTTGCCGAAGTGAGCAGCGCTGCACTGCGTGATAAAGTCCAGGGCGTGGATCCTGAGCCAAGCACCGCTAAACCCTACACCCTTAAACCCTAAACCCTCAATGTAGGTCTTCGACACAGATAAATCGTAGATCCAGCCGAGCAACAAAACACCGGGAGCTCCCAAGGACAACAGAGTTACGACTTCGATACGAGAAATTGAAAGCACCATGGCGAACGTCTGCTGTCGATCTACACGGCAGCACAAAGCCAGCAGTCTTTTAAGCCCGACAACATGAAGAGCACACAGAATGAAGATGTAGCATGCATATGCCGGTCGACATTGAAGTAAATCTAGTGTCACACCTGCAAGCGATGCCCCAGCAGCTCTTCATCCTCATCATGCGAAGTTGTACCCCAACTTGAGCACATGTACATGCCGGTGTGTTTCAACACACACCCAGCTGAGCACATGCCTGCAACGACCCGACGATAGAAGCAGTATTATGTAGTCTTCTCTAATGATGAATAGACCCAAGAGAACTACCATTAATCTTCCCAGCTTGTCAAGGAACTATTACTTTGATGTTTCGGGTCTCCACGATCAGTCCTGCACTTTCTGGCCGGCTGATGCTAGGCATAAAAAGCTAGATGCACCTAATATTCCCCGCGCTTGGCTCGCTCGAACTTGGCCCTGACTTCGTCAAAAGGCATGCCAGCCTCCAAGCGCTTGGCCTTGGATTTCGAAGACCGTGCGTGATCCATGCCCTAAAACCCTAAACCCTACAAACCTATACGGGGTTGAAAGGCTCATGTATGTATCAGATGGATTCCGATCATGATCAAAGAATACAATCCCGTAAAGCTGTCAATCCGAAGACTCGATGCAATGATCTTCTAATTATATAGGTCTAGCAACTACAAATAGATAGGGGTCTCGATTAGCGGGGCCCGGGGAGGGGGGGGTTGGGTTTGGGGCCTTTAGGGGTTAATAGGGTACCGGTTTTGGGTTTAGGAATTTGGGGGATTGGTTTATGGCATTCGGGGTTTAGGGTTTAGGGTTTTGCCTACGCAGTCTTAAGCCCCAGCCACAGCTGTACCACAAATGTCGACCATGTTCTGCATCGCAAGCCTGCACGTCTCCGGCATCATGTTGCTGGGCCCGGCAATGTGCAGTACCTGCCGATCGACTCAACACATTATTGTAGGCCCAGGTATATTATAATGTTTCAGCTTTATAAAGTATGTCCCGATACTCGAGAATATAGTTCAGTATAACGACTTTACGATCCCATCCATATACTTAGAACAGGGTGATCTGGGGTTTGATAATGTGCACATGGTTTTATTCCGAGACGTATTCTCGGCCCTTACATTACGTGTATATATGGGAGGAATGGAGACCATTAGCTACGTACATTACATGGTTACACACGGACCCATGTGTACTGTATACATGCATGTATACATATATATATATATATGTGTTTATAAATGTAGGACAAATGACACTATAACCGTTTTGGAGTCCAGACTATAATGTAGACACACCAATAGAGACGACACAATTTTCGTGTAATGTGTCTATATGTTTTTCTCACACCCAGACATATGAACGACACATCTTTTACATGTGTATGCAAATGCGTATATATGTCTATATATATATGTACATGTATACTGCTCCCCAAAATATAATCAATACCATGGAATCCCCAAGCTAACCACTGCTCCAGCCTGCTTCTTCGAACTCAGCCCATCAGTCCGCGAGACCAAACCAACACATGCTCGGCTCCAGTATGGCATCACCTTAATTAACACAAAATTGCAGCAGCTCCGGGTTAGTTAATCCTTGTGTGCGTGTGTGCATGTGCCACCGCATATATATTGCTGTCCAGTCACATAGTAGTCCTTGAAAAGAGGAATGTTGATACGCCCATAATCAGCCTTTGTGTACCTACGCTTGGTCGGTCGGGCATCGTCATCCTCTTCATCTTCATCTGCTGCTGGAGCTGCTGTCTCCGTTGCTTTGGCCTTTGCTCGTGGATTTGCTTTCGACTTTGCCGCTGTTGGAGTTTCTTTCTTTTTTCCTGCTGCTGACATATCGGAACCAGCAGCAGGCTCCTCGCTGGCAGCGCTAGCCCTCTTCTTCCCACGGCACCTCCTTCCCAAGCCAGGCTTCTCCCCATTGTCATTGACATCAGCTTGGTCTCCTTCGCCTGTTCCCTTGGCAGGCTCTTCCTCCTGGTCATTGACATCAGCTTGGTCTCCTTTGCCTGTTCCCTTGGCACCCTTGTCATTGACATCAGCTCGGTCTTCTTGGCCTGCCCCCTTTCCCTTTCCCTTTCCCTTTCCCTTTCCCCTGCCCTTTCCTTTCTTCAGCTGTTTCTTCTCAGCCTCGCCTTCGGCCTCCACCACCTGTGGTCGTTTCTTGCTTGCACTCTCGGCTGCTGGAGGCTCTGCAGCAGCATCCTCGCGATCATGCTCCCGAGGATCCTCCACATTTGGGGCATCTGTCCTTATCGAATGGGGTTGGAAATGCACACAATCACCAACAGAAAGTGCCCCCCACACACACACACAGTACACCAACACACACACGCACACACACACACACACACACGATTGTGCAGATTGCAGCCCAGCATCGTTGACTTCGCACCCCGTCCCCTGCCTCGGCCTTTACCCCGCCCTCGGCCAGCATTTGTCTTGGCGATGGCCTGGGCTTTGGCTGCAGCTCGCCTCGGCAACGACATACATGTACATGTGTTTGACACACACACACACGTTACATACACATGTGTGTGTGTATATATATATGTGCATGCTATATCTATATATATATATATACATATATACACACATGGACATATAAGCGCACATACATGGATACATACATCATGTACACATTTATCCATATGTGTGTGCACTCTACAAGCCTCACAGCCCAATAACATATGTGCTCATCTACCAGATGACCGACATCCGAACCATAATGTGCTTGGGCCCGGCCTCATCATACTTACAACTTCATATATTTTCCTGTGCAGGGGAGTGACAGTTTGGTTTGAACCTCGGGCAAGTTGGCATAGTCGTCGTCTTTGTCCTGCCTGAGATACCCCTTCTCCTTCAACTCTGCAAGCTTTGTAGCCACGTTCCACTGGGGTCGTTCTCGAATAAGCGGCTCGTTCGCTGCCTCCGGAACCATTGTTATATATATATATATATATATATATGTACATTGATATTGTGCACCGCAGCACTAGACATGACTCAGTTCTAGTGTCCTACATGTATTATATATATATATATAACCATATTTATATTTGCAAATCACTTTATAAACAGAAGGCCTCGGCTGTGCGAGTGGGCTGGGCATCTGCTGGCCGTACCTCGGGAACTCGCAGCAGTCGAAGTAGAATCGATTTCAACCCCATGTAAAACTCTAGTGTCGAATCGAGTACATAGTATATAATGTAGCCAGGGCACCTCTAGAGTCATGTTTGGGCTGGCTTCTGGGTGTGCATCCGAATCTGGGGTCGTCTCGGGCTTCGGAATCTCGGAGTCCACTGGGGTCTCGGGCTTCGGAATCTCGGAGTCCACTGTGGTCTGGGGCTTCGTGTCCACTGGGGTCTCAGGCTTCGGAATCTCGGAGTCCACTGGGGTCTCGGGCTTCGGGTCCACTGGGGTCTCAGGCTTCGGAATCTGGGACTCCACTGGGGTCTTGAGCTTGGCCTTGGTGGGACAGTCCACGAAGGTCTCGCGCATCACATTGGTCTCAGGCTTCGGAATCTCAGAATCCACCGGGGTCTCGGGCTTTGGAATGTCCACGGGGGTCTTGGGCTTCGCGTTGCTCTCGGGCTCGGGAATCTCAGAGCGAACCGATTCAGGCTTCACATGGATCTCGGGATTCGGAATCTGAAACTCCACAGGGGTCGTCTGGGGCTTTGCATGAATCTCGGGATTCCCAGGAATCGGAGACTCCAACGGGGTCTCGGAAATCGAGTCGCAGCTTGTGGGTAAGGCTTCGGGCTGTGCATTCGAAACCGGGGCCTCGGATCTCTCTGGGATCTCAGGCTTCGGAGCCTTTGTTGAGCAAGAGCGCGATATCCCAAGAAACTTTGGCACCGGAGGCAAAACTTTCTTCGCCAAAGATTCTTGGGCAGTAGACAGCAAATCCGAAGGAATTTGAGTGTCACATGTATCCATGTCCGACCCTGTATCTGCTGGCTCCGCTTCGACCTCGGATTCCTCGGCACCTGAATCCGAAGATGTGCAGCTCGCAGCATCGTCATCCCCACCATCTGCATCTGCAGCAGCCAAAAGCGTCAGGATATCTTTCAATAGCTGCACCTCTTTTGACCTTAAGGCTATCAACACACACACACACATGCACATGTATGCATTTGCATTGATAAATCATCACATGAATAGATCTCACCAAAACACAATGATCTCTCGGGACTCTTTCTCCAAAGTCTGATTCCATACATAGCCCTGCTTCTCAATGTAGCCGCTTGGATCTCTGTCCAGGCCTGGGCAGATCGAGCAGAACCTCTAATCCGAAACGAATTGGCAAACTCCAAACAACGGCCTGCCTGGATCTCTTTCTTCTTTGACGTGACAGGGAGGACAGCATACTCATCCTGGATCCATTGGAAAGCAGCCTCGAGCACACTGTGATGTTTGGAACCCCTTGCATTTCATCGGTACATCTCACACTGCATATGGGCCGGGTAGCACTGCACAAATGCTGCATGCAAGTAACTCTGTATTTCGTCAGCACCGGCTGCTTTACACCGAAGTTGGCATACAACTCCTTTAGCACCAAAGCTGCGTCTTGCACTGCCTCCTCGGAGACATAATCCACCATCTTCAAGCAGGAATAATCCTGGCATATTTTCATACATACATACGTACATACACTGCACTCGATATAATAAGTCGAGGGTCTTCATCCTTGCGCATCTTGGCAAGCAACGAACGCTTGCCGTCGTCATCTTTGGCAGCGATCCATTCATCCAAGATTCCACAAAGAGTTTCAAACCTGGGAATACAAGGACACATATATCGTGTGTGTAAAGTCGAATTGCACAAAACCACATATACACCACACATGTACATATAGAGATGAGTCGCTGCTCATCACCAGGATTATCATCCGTGGCGACCTCCACGGAGTCATCCCGTGCTTGCCCAGCCATTTCGTGAAACGGGCTGTGCGCACGGCAAAATGCACAAGTGCACACACTAACTGCTAAGCAAAAGCTTCGAAACACTGGTTGCATGGCATCCACAAATCAAACAGTGTGCTGCCCAGCCAGATCGTGAGTCACTGCTGCATGCACAATAGCTCTGGGGGAGGACGCACCTGCACGGCCATGCTTCCGAAGCTGCTGCCGAATACGCCCGCGTAGCATGCCCGACACATCATCAGGACGAGCACATGATGCACATGCCCACGGGGAATATAATTGAAGTTTACAAGTGCATTATATATATATATTCTTTATTATAAAGGGGGCAATATGTGTATAATACCGGGTCACAGGGAAAAGGCGGTTCCTCTAAAACTGCTACTAGCATCTGCCACCTTAGAACCCTCCAGGTCGATACTACATCACCAACCCTTGTAGGGCGTACAATATATATATATATATATATACATATATTACTTCCTGATCACTTGCCGAACATGTTGCGATCTAGCGGCTTGGGACATCATGTTCGCTGCCTCGATAACATGTGCACAGCATGCAACAGACTTTGCATGTCATGAGTGTGCTTATAATTTATGTATGTATGCATGCATGTACATGTAAAAGATCCACAATTTATCCGGATAAACGAATTCATCTCAACACAGCCGCGAAAACACACCCCGAAGTGTTTCGGAAAGTATGGGTAAACACACAATGTTGTTAAAACAAGCCATATATTGCTTCATTATGTATCGACAAGTACACATAACAACACGGAAACAACAGCCATATCTAGAAACTCCATAATCCACACTGGCCACGGGGGGGGCTTGGAACTGGTTCCTCCTATCTTGGTTTTTGGGGTCTGGTTACCTTAAATCCGGGTTACCAATCTGGTTACCCGGATTCCGGGTAACCGGAGGCCCTGGGTAAAGGCTGCTCTAGCACAAAGTGACGACCTGCGACACATTGTGCGCGTGCTATTTCGGCACAAAACTGCGCCAACCCAAAACCTTCGGCACGAGTTCGATGCCACGTGTCGTGATGGATAGCTTTGTTCATATGCTGTAGTTGCCCAAAACCCTTACAAGGAGGAGCCATGACTGCCACCAACGGTTTGCGCGTGGCTACGTATTCTTTAACTAACTCCCTGTCTCGAGCTTTGCTCAGATTAAACCCACAGCAAATGTCAAAGTTGACACCGGCTTTGAGACCATGAAGCTTAGCAACGAGGTATGAAGTTTCACCAACACCTCCAAACAGCTCAACCACTGCAACAATTCGGCCATCATTCGCTTGAAGAGCACTTTGATGAAAGACCTGTAGTCCCCCAACGCTCATGTGAGGCCTTTGTTGCAATTTCTTCATGGGCATATCAACACCGGATCCATGCAACCACAATCCACGGCCAAACGCAAATTCGGCAATAGCTGAATACGACTCCGCTTCATGCAATGGGCTTTCAAACATGGCTCCCATAAGGTGCGGATGCCATGGGACGGTTTCCACAAACTCAACAATGCTGTCCAAGGAATCTCCACAATCATCGCGATGCTGTTCCACCTGTTGTTTACGGCGAGTGGGCTTATGTCCCGACGCAAGAACAGCTTTCCGCTTAATGGCTTGTTCCGTTGGATAAGCTTCGACTTCGTCAACAAACGACACCGTGCGACACTCAACGAAGGCATCCTGTGCCACATAAGCCTCAGGAGGAGTGAACCCAACGGGGAAATCCAAATCACGCAATGCGGAAAGTTCATCCCGCGAGCATTTTGCCACTCCTCGGCTCGCAAATGCAACGAGTGTCCAACGTTCGCCTTTCCAAGGCTCAGGGCAATGCATGCGGTCAGGAGGAAAGGCAAGCACACGCTGTTTACAATCATGAGTACGCCCCAGGACGGTACGACCGTTAATGTCTTTTGCAACCAAGCCGTCGTTGACCGTTGCGGTGCAATCCTCAATCCAAACCTTACCATCAACATAATCGCCAAAACCCACAATGAGGTTGATACTGCCCACTAAGTTGTGGACATCTTTGTGTGGCTTCATTTTGGCGTTGCAGTTGAGGGCTAGGCTGGACCATCGCGTGTCATTATCACGCAAACGAAGACAGCAATTCAAGTAGCGAACGAACTCGCAATGACGTTCGGTGAGATTTGTAATTTCAGCAAAGGCCCCGTACGCATACACACCAAACGCAAAGGCTTCGCCATGCGGATCGGCTCCGGAAACTATGTCACGAAGCTCATGCTTAACAATCAAGGGTGTGGCGCGCGCAACTTTCCAGCAAGTATCCCACGAGAAATCACCTTTCAACAGACATGCTTTGGCAAATGACTCGGCATCAGGTAGTGCCATTACCGTCGAGGGAAATGCTGGAGCGACAAATCGGGACAATTGCGGTGAACTCACCTGGACATCCAAGTTCGGACGATATGCTTTCAACTTCAACTCGGGTTGCCTACGCTGTCGGCCTGAAGACAACACCTGAATTGCACAATGAACTAAGTTACTCAACACTGTGCTCCAACGACAATCTTTCATTCTTCCTAGGCGCTTGGAGTCAACATGATCGGCACGCGTGGTGCATTCACAAAGCGCACTGGGGAAATGAAAGTCGGTCGCAAGCTGCAGCACACTGTTGCACGGAACACGCTTGGAATCTGAGGCACCAAGGGTTTCATATTTACACCAACTATGTTGGGAGATCGTTAATCCATTTATCAAACCCTTAATGCTTTGCATGCTCCAAACCTGACTTCGGGCATTTGCCTCTAATACAACCACACCCGCCAAGGACTGCTGGGCCTGAACGAGAGCACACAAGTGTAAAGTGCGCTGCGCGTCACATTTATTTCCGCTACCCGCTACAGGACCAGCCAATCTTACCCAGAGTAAACTCGGCCGTTGTTGTTGTATTAGCTGCAACAAATAGGATAAGTGACCTTTGCTATGCAAGTCGTGATGGAAATGTGATGTGGTGTAACCGTGTGTTTGCAACACGCTCTGGCGCTCAGCATTCTTGTCTGAAACAATCCAGGCGAGGGGCGCATCAGAGCTTCTTACAAGTGTTTCGGCCTTAATCAAGCCTCCTCTGCACCCCTGTGTGCTGGCGATTTGCTGCGTGCAACCGATGTTTCACGGGAGCGCGCACGATCACGAACCGACATAGCAAAGTCCAACACATTGGATTCGAGGCTTTTGTCATTCGGCTGATTTCCGAAATCACGATCAATAGGCAAGATGAGGTGACCGGATGGAGAGAGTTCCAAATCGAACACACGAGTTCCGGGTGAACACTCGATTTTCAACCCACCGGCACCTGGCAAGTACAGCTTTTGGCCTTTTGTGTCCAACACCGCTGACACACGCCTCAGACTACGCAAACCTAGCAAAGGCGGCAACGCAGAACCATGAATCACAGGTGCAGTAAAGCTTCCAGGCACGTCGCAACCATCAACATCACGCAATCGCAAAGTGACACGGCTTGCATACTCAGCGCTTTGGGAATTTTGCCCTACGCCTTCAACTTGCAAGCTTTTGGACATGCGAAGTTGCCGGTTCGGCGTGCCAACCTGTTCAGCCATCCGTTCTGCAGTCAGACCACCCACCAAATTATCATGAGCCCCGGGGTCAACCAACAATCCAACTCGGTTGCCTTCTAGGCGTGTACGCTGATGGTACAAACCGGCTACCTCTTGAGAGGAGCTGTAATCATCAGCATCGCCTTCCCACCACGCGTGATGCAACAAAGAGCTGAGTTCCAAGACAGAACGCTGACGATCAAGTTGATCTTCATTCGGTGCTCGCTCGTTTGGGGGTGGAAACCTTGGTGGCCTGTTGCCTGTACCTACTGCTTGAACGGCTGCGACACCTGATATGGCGCTTGAACTGCTTGCAGGCTCATCTTCTGGAGATGGTTCCGGGTTATGCTCGGTATCTGCATTCCAATGTGGGGGCACATCTCGCGATGCCCTCGACCTTTGAGACCTTTGCGATCTCTGAGATCTGGTACTACTCACCTGGGAAGCGGTTTCCAACCTACGCATTTCCTCATCTATTCCCGAACCGTATCTGGACGGGGAATCCAATCTCGGATGGAACCTGAGAAGGTGCAGAAGAACCACTACCAGCTAAGTAATGAAATGCAACCCCGCTCATTTGACCTGGCATTCCTGCTGCATTGGCCGATGGCCACATTTCAACTGCAGATCGTTTGCCAGCATTGGTCATAAGAGCTAAGGCTGGGGATACGCTGGTTTGTTGTGCCCAATGTGTGCCTGATGCACTTGCTTGATTGCCTGACACGACCTGAGGGCATTTTCGCCACAAGTGCGATGTGGAACCACATTTTGCACACTTCATAATTTGTCCATCCTTACCGCGAGGATTCAATGCACCTGGACCTCGGCGAAAACCACCAGAATTACCTTTACCTTTTCCTCCCTTTCCGCCTGCAAAAGCCCCTTGCGGAAGGAAAGTTGAGTAAGTTCTGGCATACGGCCCTCTTTCCAGTTTTGATTGAAACCTTGCACCATGCTTGAAACCATACCGACGGTATCTACGAGGAGGTTTGCCAGAGTACCTACGCCAACGCCTGCGGGCCATCACATAATCCTGATACAGTGCGTTTGCCCTTGCATCATCATCATGGCGTGTTTGGCCATCGACTTCCACTGTGGCATACGATGCGGCATCAGCGTCATACGAACCTGTGTCGGACTCAGTTGCCGATGACATGTCATCATCCTCGAAATACAAACCACAGTAGGAACACTGACCTTCATCACCAATGCCCAAGCCTCCTGCCATTCTACCCATATCAGCATCAAAGCCTGTTGCATATGCGCCGTGTGCGCTGAATCCGGCCGTGCCCTCACGGGCGGCTGTATTTGGCGCGAAACCCGCACAGAAACTTCCACAGGCTGACGCGTTGGGATGATTGGCGGTTTCAAAGGTAGGGAAAGAGTAGACATTATGCTGGACATGGTAATTTCCTGGGTCTCCAACTCCTGCTTGCTGGTTTGGATGCCTGAGCCCGCCTTCAAACAAATGACCTTGTCGCCGAATGCGTTCAATGAGCATTCCCATTTCCGCATCGTTGTTGGGAAGCGCTCCACCCATGAACTGCAAAAGACGGTCAGTTTGTTCAGCATTTGTTCTGAGGGACCTAAGGAGGATCCAAGCCAAACCCCCGTGATTGATCCCAAAACCGCCCCGTTGTTGAGCACGAGCTCGCAGCACATCAAACCGCACAAGCAGTGCATCAACGCTCTCACCAGGAATCCGATCAAAGTTCATGAAATCACTGATGGCACGGGTGGATTGCTCCTGTTCCAGTGGCAGATACCGACGGGCTAGAGTTTGAACCAACATCATCAAACCCGTAACTTGATTGCCGTTTACCGGGTCTACACCACCATTTGCCAACTGATCAGGAGGGATTTCACGCACCAGTTCTTTTGCACTACCGGTTACCTGAAGCGCGGCGATAGGACCCATACGTTGAGGTTCAACGTCAGTGGCCGTTGACCACATAATGAGGTCACTAATCCAAGATCTCAGGGAGTAATGGTGGTTACGTTCTACACTCCATGCCGGAGGCACTTTAAGGGTAGCTGTGCCTAAGAATGGAGGTCCGGCATCGCCCACATGGGCGTGTTGCCGCGGTCCGTTGCCAAAACCTGTTGGTCTATGCGGTGCGCCTGGCATCATGTACGCGAGGTAAGAAAGAACCAGGGAAACCAGCAAAACCAATCCCAACCATTTATTGGCAATAAACCTTTGGACCCAACCCTGATGTGACTTGACCTTGGACTTAGCACTGGCGCGTGCTTGCAGTCGGCGCTCTTTGCGGGAAAGACGTTTGAGAGTATTAAGGTGCATATTCTTATCTTGCGCTCGTTTGAAAGGAGGCATTCGTGACTCAAAGTGCGAACGAGCTTGCTCACGAAAACGCCTCACCCGCTCACGCAACTGCTGTACATCATGCATCCTTCTTTTGTCCTGGGCTGAAGCCCGGATGGAATCATACATCACCAAACTCCTTCCTGCAAAGTCGTCGTTTTGGTCATCCTCCGGAAAACTCCGCAACTCACGTTTCACAGGAAGGCCATTCCCGTAATCAGAACCGTTTTCCAGAAGACGATCAATCTCACGTAGCATCTGCACAAGCTCTTGTTGATCATGAAGAAGCTGTGCAATCTCTTCTTTGGCAAATAGAGCAACATCAGATTCACGATGCATCGACAAGATGTTCATCATGTTTGTGTCATTAACGCTCGCGTTCGGGTCAAGCAAAGCAGAATCAATCCCATCAGGGATGTTGAATGCTTCTTTGGCTGCGTACGTCTCGTTATTCAGCTTCATGTCGGAAATCGTCTTGGGCATTACGCTGCCAATGCCAGTAAACACAAGGGTGGTCAACATGGCAAGGCACGAGAGGAACATGAGCCCTGAACGAACACCCGACAGCTCCGCTACCAAGTTGAGAAACGAACGTCCCTCTGAAACCCCTGGGCTCCACATGAAACTGTGTACATGACACAATGCAGATTGACCCTTTTCACGTGATGACATGCTGTCAGTCCTGCACTATACAACACCTTCGAGGTTTCAAGTTAGCATGCAATCGTAAGCACTCGCGAGCTGCAGCATATCAGAACATACAACTCAAGTACGCGTCAGTAGGGCTTGCTACCTTTCAACTCTTAGCTCCTCCAATATCAGTGGTTAGTAATCCGCGTAGCATCTCAAAGAGCTCTTGCATGTTGTCGATCGGAAGGCTCCTCGTTCCCACAGCTGCGGGGGGGGGGGGGGGGGGAGGAATGTGGGGCGGTTTAGGGGTTCCTTTAATTAAGGGTTCTTTCGGGTTTAGGGGTTTTAGGGTTATAGGGGTTTAGGCGTTTAGGGGTTCAGGGTTTCTTTATGGGGGATACTTGCCCAAACCATACTAGTAATTCCTATGATAGAAATCCTACAATTCTACTATACAAGTACTGAGGACCCTTTGGGATTTGGGGTTTGGTCTTTAGGGTTTAAGCTTTAAGGGGTTCAAGAGTTAGGGATTAGAGCTTGGGGTTTCAAGGTTTAGGGTTCAGGGGTTATAGGGCACCAGCATTCAGGAACTGTCGCTGAAGGGTGTTCAACCACGGGCTACACCAAGATGCTGCAGCCCACCCCCCCTGTGATTAAGACAAACCTCAATCCCAAGCCCAACCTAGGCACTACCCACGCCTTTCAGACCGACCAGCTCCCAAATCCTTCTAGACCTGAGCCTTGAGGGAGTTCGGAGTCTGCGCTATGAGGCTTCGGGAACTGGCATCAATGCACACACAAAGCAGATGGGACTTGCTCTG